AAAACTGAACGATGCTGAAAATTGAATTATATCAGCGGTAGACGTTCCCGAGTATATTCATGACAAGCAACGTCGGGATAGCTTTTGACCAATAAACCAAACTGCCATACCTCTGTGTTTTGTAGAATTTGATGTCAAATGATTCTGGATTCAATGAAAGCACATTTTTGACTCATTTTGGCAGGTTTAAAAATATTCACTTGACAAAAGTCACGCTTGCTAACATGAAACTTGAACCGTACCGACTATACCAGTGAGAAGTGTTCCCGAAGAATGTAGCGACGAGCAACATCAGGATAGATATTCCCTACTAAGTCGAATTTCCATGTCTTTGTGTTTTGTGGGATTTGAATGAAATTTTTCTGGAAAAAATGATAGCGTATTACCTCACAACAGCAGATTTAAGACCACTCATATGATAAGTATTGTGCTTATTGAAGAGAAGTTTGAACCAGACCGACTACAACAGCCGATAAGACGAAAGTTAACCAACAATGGTTATTTTCGCTGCTACCTCATAAATAAATCATAACGCACTAAGTAGATGCGCTCACTACGGTTATTGATATTTAAGATGTAAGCGTTACGAATTGGATACACATGTTTCTACTCGTTCAAAATAAAAAAAAAATTGTTGATTTTTTTTCGTACAAAACATGCGTTATACAAAAATTTAACTGAATCTTTCAACTGAATCTTTTAACTGAACCTTTCAAAAATTTCAACTGAATCTTTTGTTTCAAGTCAGAAAACAATCTTTGTACGGCTTAGTTTTAAAAGGCGATCAGGCATAATTTTTACAACAAGTATCAATTCTTACTTGTTTCACTTCTATTAGGTAACCGTCACTGAAATGCGCTAAAAACACGTATCATTTTTGCTTTTCAATTACAATCTTATTTCGAAATATTCAGTTTAATTTTCACTCTAAATATGTTCCTCGTTTCCAATTTTTCAAAAATTTAGGAAGGTTCAAGACTCTGGAAAACGTTAGGTAATTGAGATAACTTTGGAATAGGACATCAAATTTTGTTGAGATTGCAATCGTACAAACCTTAAGTCGCCTTTGAGAATTAGAACTAGACTTGTATTTTTTAAAAATATTCTAATTTTTGTGGTTTATAGAGGCAAGGGGTTATACTTTTTATTTGCAGACGGTTTATCATAATGGCAGTGAACGTTCACCAGATTTTTATCACAAGATGTATAACTAATCAAATTAAAAAGTCTATGGACTTATCTGATATCAGAGCGAAAAAGTGGGTAGTCAACTTAAAAAATAAACAGATTTTTTTCTCCTCAACATGTTTTGAAGCAAACTTTCTTTCCAAAAATTCAGACTTTGTTTTTTAAATATTGTTTAAAACTTTAACAGAAAATATTTGATCCTTGTTTTGATTTTTTTGCATCGTCAATGACCAAAAATCACAGGTTATTACTTATCAAAAGACAAACAAACAAGTAAAAAATCTACTTCAATCCAGATTTCTAAAAAGTTTTATTTGTTTCAATTATAAGCAAGCCTTGTATCGCACTGGGTGAATGTTTCATGGGCAACTTATTATTGCACTTTTTGAAAAGAATGATTTTTATGCTTAAATTAGGGTGACACGTAGTTTGCCATGCTTCGGCTATCTTTTTACCAAGTTTAATTGCCAGATCAGATGATTGCATGTTAAACGTCGTATTAAACGAAACCTAAGAAGAGGAGGAGGGAGTTAAGTACTGTAGTATGAAGATTATCTACTCAGTCGGCGATTCATATGTCTTGGCAATCCTTCAGTTCTTCCAGATATTCATCGATTCGTAGAACCAGCCATCCATTCAAGACATTCGAGCATCCATTCAACCAGGCGTCTATGAATCTAGCAAAATATATATAAGCCAACCATTAATCCATCTAGTCACCCAACCAGCTAATCAATCAACCATCAACCCATTCAGCATCAATCCATCTACTAAATTTCGATCCATTCAGGCACCTATGTTAGCTTGTAGGTATTTAAAAAATATATGAAAATGTACATAATATAGTGAGTAAGAAGATAAGTAAGTAAAAATGTTGAAAAAAGATTTTGAAAGTAAGAAGAAATAAACAAGTAATTACCGTAAAAAAATCAGTGTAAAATGAAAAATTCAAAATGATTACTGCATTTATGATAATCTGTCAAGTTAACTGCTGAAACAGTTACTTACCGGCCCATGACTTATAATCCTTGTCTTTATAAGCAAAAACAAATATTGAACTATCAGCCACAAAAAATAAATAAACTGTCTTAAAGAAACCTTACTCTAGATCTAGTTTTTAACAAAAAAAAAACGATTTATGTTTGGTACGATTGCAATCTCAAAAAATGATTCCCTGTTTTAGAGTGTGCATATTACATGAACCTTTTCTCAGAGTTTTGAAGCTGTGTAAAGTTTTAAAATTTTAGAAACAAAGTTTTTGTTAGAGTCAAACTGAAACTCAATATCTCGAAATGGAACTGAAAAGCTAAAATTTTTTTCGAAAACTTCAAATTTCAACTGGTTCTAAGAAATCATTTGAATGTTGGGTTGCTTGCCTAAACAAATGACATTGATTTTTTGAGATTTTTAAGTTTAGTTATTACAGGTATCGCTATATTCAGATATTTATAAATTGTGTACAATTCATTTAGATAACAAAAAGGGTCTTTTACATTGGCGCAGTGGAATTTTTAACTAAAATTTACAGAAATAAGCTAATTTAGAATCCAAAATGAAACACGGAACGCGAAATATATTCTCAATATTTAACATTTATCATGCGACTCAGAAAATCAGAAAACCAATCTTATCCACTTATAAAATAGATTAAGAATGTTTTTGAAAAAGCACCCCCAGAGAAAACCAGAAATTCGAGCAAAGTATTATCATTTGCCTATTGTTTTGTCCATTATTATGCCGATCCATTCGAAAGTCCATTTGCTTGTCCATCGTCGTTTTTTTTGTTGTTGTTGCTGTCGTTGTATGTTTTGGGCGGACATAAATTATCGATGAATTGAGTCCAATCCGAGTCAGAATTGACACCAACTCTCTTCTCGCTGGAAGTATTGTTCAGTGCATGTCTTTGCATTCCCTCAATCAGCAGATTCATATCCTGAAAACAAAAAATTCTGGGTATTTTCCTTTCTGTCCGAGTCATTCAGTAAAAAATGAAAAAAAAATGAAGAATTATCCTTTTTATATCTAATTTTCTTTAGAACTTTTGTCTCATTTGTTTTTCTTGTGTTTAGATATACGGAATTTTCAAAAAGCATTGTATAAACCAATTGTAAAAAAATTGTTTCAAATAATGTGTTTATAAAGTACTCGAAACTTGGTTCGGCTTTTTTTGTTCCGGATTTGGAAAAACTTTACAAGACTTTTTCAATAGAGTTTTTATACAATCTGATAAACTCCGGTGTATTAAGCTCAAAAACTTCAAACTTTCTGGGAAACATTTTTTTTTTGATATCAAGATCGACAGTTTCCCTGTGGTTTGACTGTGTTACTACCATAACTTTTTTTTGAGCAGTTTATACAATTCGAAAAACGATAATTAGACAATGAGATTTCAAAGTCTTGTATTTTTCTCGAGAACAGATCAAAAAGTTTTGAAAAAAATTGCAAAATGATTGCAACTTTGCACGAAATATGCAAGAATTAGGAAAGACTAGTTTTTTTTCTTGCAAGATTCCTTGTAGAAAAACTTGCATGATTTTCCTTCCCAGTTCTTTGCGCTTGATAGAGCGTTTTCAAAATTTTTTTGTTTTCTATCCTTCTAATTTAAAGTTTTGGTTCACACAATTTTTTCGTTGGCATATTTTTCTGATGCTGATTCTACAACCTGAGGGAGAAGTTACTCTTAATAATATGATAAAACTGGAGATGAGATTTCAATATAAACAATGAATTGTAATTAAAAACTTGTACTCAAATGATAGTATTGTGTTGGCTATCTACTTCAAAATTTGAATTTACTCGAATTTCAATATCGTGGTTAATATACCTATTTTAGGGATTGTGGTCGAAAAAATCATCAGGGCTCCTGGACAAAAAAACGAGCTTTTTCTTCACTAACTTTTTCCATTATAAATCCACAGTCTAGTAGCCCTTCAATATTTACAAAAAACCGCTCAAAAGCTCATTCTAAAACAAAATTTTGAGCTTATTCATCCTAAAAAACACTCAAACCCCTCAAATCATGCTAAAATTTAAGCTGAAAACCTCAACTTTGGATATGTAATAAAAGCACTCATTTGAATGACTGCACTTTTCCTGAATTGTATTATCAATTCTATCTCAGAACTGGACAAACAAAAACACTGTGAATCTTAGGGTTCTATTTAATCAAAGACTGAAAAAAATGTAGTTCAAAACTGTTTGATTGGACAAAATATTCTCTTGAAACATGGTTAGTTCATCGGCAGATGATTTTTATTTAAGATAGTTTAATTAATCTTTGGCTGTGAAAAAAAAACTGAAAAAGTGAACTGAAACTAGCTTTTTCTGCGGTAACTTAGTGTGTTAATCATGCAAACTCCTTGCTAATGAACATGCATTGCTTATAAAAATGAGTAGGTTCAGATTTCGAGAGTAGAATGTATGTAATGCAGAAGTTTTTGCGATTTGTGGAAATAAATTGCAAAAATTAGGTTGAAATTCATTCAAATAATTTATATAGTACTTTATTTGGGTTGAATCCTTTCTATTGGTTTTAGGCGGAGTCTTTTTAAAAAAGTTTGATCCTTTCTAATGACAAAATAATCGAATTCATGGTCTAAATTTGCACAAATAAAGTAGTTTAGAAAAAAAACATTTTTAACAACTATTTTGACACTTTTTTTCCATTATAATCGGCAATTTTTTTTCATAAAACTGCGTTGCGGGAGTGGGATGCACTACGAGTTTGCATCTTTGATATTTTCTTCAATGTTGTTTAAAAATGATGTTAATTAACAGCTCAAATTGCTTGACTATTTAAAATTTTTTTGAAGTTTCACATGAAGTTTATACTTCAAAAAAATTATACAAGAAAACCTTCGAAGTCGTGTATAAATCCCAAGAAAGAAATCAAAAAATTTTGGAAACTTTGCGAGATGATTTAAATTTTGCCCGAATTATGCAAGAATTAAGCAAGGTTCATTTATTTTCTTGCAAGATTTCTAACTGGAAAACTTGCATGATTTTCATTATAAAACTTCCGTGCTTGACAGAGCGTTTTCGAACACTTTTGATCTAATCATTGGAAAAATGGAGATGAGAATTTTATAAATGGGTGTATTTATATTGTTTTTTTTTCCTTATTTTTTCCCTTTTTTAACGCAAAATCAGGTACCACAATTAACCATCGGACTGGGTTATGTGATATATCGTTTCAAAGGCTTTTCAGTTTTAATTTGAATGACGTTTCAAAAACATAGAAAAATTACAAAAATTTATAGTTTTTTGTTCGGATCCTTTTATCAGACCACACAGAAAAAAAATGTTTTTTTTTTGTATTTTTGAGGGCTATGGTCGGAAGTTTCTGTGCTACTTGAGCAGTAACCAGTTATCCTAATTTAGTTTTCTAGCCTTCTCATTCACAAATATTGATTCTCACAATATATTCATTGGCCTATTATTTTGATGGTTTTTCTACCATAGTCTGAGGGAGAGTTTACATTTGATAAATCATAAATTTGGAGTCAAGATTTCAAGTTTAACAATAACGTGTAAATAGGGAATTTTACACAACCGAAAATGATAGCTATCTACCCTTTCTGTTGTGCTTCGAATTCTGCTTCTATTAAAAACGTACTCTAACAATTGAACCTAGTCGACTTTGAAACTCGTAACTAATTTACCCATTTTTGGCATTGCTGGCGAAAAAATCATCAGGATTCCCGGACAAGAAAAACCGGATTTTTCTAGACTGTTTTTTTTCATTAAAACCCTCAACCTAGTAGAAAAACAAAAAATAACCCCCTTCATTTTCTATAACCATTTTGAGTTATTATGAGGCTATATTTTGCCGGGGAGTGTGTGGGGGGATTGATTCTGAATGGGAAATATCCCAAAAAAATATTTACCTGTTGTGTTTGGTTGAGTGCATGTATGTAGTCAATAGTTGTCTTCATGACATCCACTGAACGAGTGTAAGGGTTGTACTTCACTTCAAAGCCACGCTGGATCGAGTTGGTAAAGTTTCTTAAAAACAAACATTTAGGGTGAAATCACACTCTGAAACTTATTCATTTTTTTTCAAACTAAAAATGTAACCTTAATTTACCCCTAAAGCTAGGGCACAAATTATTCATCTCACCCTCATCTTAAGTCATCTCAAATACTTTCCGAGGATTTTTTAATATACAAGAATCTCGATTTGATTTTGTGAGCTTGACCAAATCACTATAAAGACTCTGTTTTAACCAAATTTTGAGAGCTACAGGCAGATTTTTGAAAACACAGGCCGAAAAAAGGCGTTTTTTGAACATACGGCTTAATAAATACTGAACGTTTTTCATCATTTTGACCCGGTTTGAACCAAGATTCAAAATTTTTCAAATAAAACCATCAATAAACTGTCTTAGTTGCCGACGAAAGATTATTGTAGAATCAGCGTCAACTAAAAATTAATTCCCCACTTTAGGTAAAATCGACCGTTATGAAAAAACGTTTTATTTTTTTAAAACAAATCTTTCAATTTTTTTTATTGTACTCAATCAACTAGAACAGGTGTTGATCCATTGGAGCGAAAAAAGACGGTTTTTTCAAAACCCAAACGTAAATTCAAGTTAAAAGTCAATTAAAATCGAGAAATTGCGTAAAGATAGTTCGTTGCTCAACCTCATTGTATTAGAAACATTTGAACGGTTGTGTTGGATATCCTAAAGCAAGAACCAATTAACCAATATTTCACATGATACCAATTTACTTCTCAATTTTTGCTCGATTCAAAGTTATGTAACCGAATATATTCTTCTAAGTGTACTTTCAATATTTATTTTTATTTAATTATCAATATATTATCCAAAACCTTTTTTGTATTTAGGAAAGAAATGAAGAAAATAATTTGATTTGTGCAAAGCAAGCTAAAATTTGAAGTGGCAATTAAGGCTAAGCCGGAATTGACATAAATTCAAAACTACTGAAACAGTTGAAGGTAAAGTGAAAAACCCAAGAGACCTGAATTTGTGACTATTAATGACTCACAGAAACCTCTGCGAGATGTAGATGATAAGAATTAAGTTTATGACTAATTTTTATAAATTTTGTGGAACTTATCATAAAAAAAAATATCAGTTACAAAAGCTTAAACAGATTTGGAACCAGTTCTAAACTAGAATTTATAATTGGTTATAAATATAAATCTCTAATTCTATAAAATAATCTTAACTAACCAATAATATTCCACTACTAACTTTTACACTTATTTGTAAGTGCTGAAACTACTTGTAGTTTCAGCACCAGAGTAATTCGAATTAAACTTAGAATACAGTTGTTCTCCTTCTGGAAACTAATTCGCAACAACCAGTATACATTAGATCTATCGAGACAACGAGTTTTAAGAGTAAGATTAAGATCAGTATTGAACTAAGAAGTTGCACGAATCTATCCGGCCGAAATTAAGATAGCGTAACGAGCAGACGGTGTAACTTATCTGAAATTACTCTATGAGTTCAGTAATCCATACAGATCTCATCTAGTGCGACCAACGTAGCCAGCGTACTCTTTTGGGTAGTATGCTAAAAGATTGTTTCTGTGTTGAACAATTTCTTTTTTATTTGTGTCAATAAATTTATATGGTACATCAGTGGGTTTGTCAATAATTTGAAATGGTCCTTTTCGGATTGGTTGTAGTTTTTAAGATTTTCCTTTTTGTATAACAAAATTTGGGATTAAGACAAAACTTCCAATTTTTAAGTTTGTAGCTGGTGTGAATCATTTGGGAATGAATATTCATTTGGGTAGCATTTGGGAATAAAAATTCTGTCTTTGTAAGAGTTTTTTTGGCTTTTTTCGTTAAGTTTCATTGTGTTTTTTATCACTGTTTAGAATCCATTCAGTATGTGTGGCGGAGGTCAATATCAAAATTTGTGAATGATAAAAAAGATTTGTAATGGTAGATAATAACACATTGATTCTTTTGTGGGTTGGCAGTAACCTTGTGCGTTTTTCGAGGAGTTTGCTGTGAACATTATTGGTTTTCAAGGTTTTTGATTAAAAACCATTTCATAAGGTGATAGTCCTAAGGTTGTTATTATTTGTGAATTGTATGCTAAGGGGAATAATTTTACATCTGTTGACCATTCGGTTTATTTTGTATCGTTTCCATTAATGATACTTCTGATGTATTCTTGCAATGAACGGTTGTTTCCGTCGACTAAACCATTAGTCCAAGGGGCATAAGATGTTCGTGGTTTGTATTTGATGTTATAGAGATGGCATATTTTGTTTATTTCATTATTAATGAACTCGGCGCCATTGTCTGTGACAAGGATTTCTGGTAACCTAATTTCGCTATCCAGTGTTCATAAAGTGTTGTATATGCATAATAGGCATTACAATGAGGTACTGTTTTAAGTGCTACGTAGTGAGTAAATGCGTCAACTATGAACATTATACATGAGTTTCCTTCCGAAGAGGGTGATATTGATCCTTTTGTATCGATTGAGATTCTGTGGTTAAAGTGAAAACTTTGTCCTTTAAAATTCTGTTTTTCTGCTATTTTCTTTTGATGTTGGTATGGTTTAAGTTATTGGCATGTTATGCAATCATTCCATAATACTTTAATCCAAATTGGTGCATTTGGAAAGTAAAAAATTTGGATGTAATTTGAGTATGTCTTTTCTGATCCGGAATATCCTTTAGTAATTAAGGAATGTGAAATGTGAAATGCTAGAAGTATCATACTTAGTGGTAAACATGGGACTTTTAATTCAGATATTAGATATTCTAAAAATTTTGTCTTCTCATTTATGGATGTATGGTTGAATTTTCTAAAGTATCTTTGAAGTGTTTTGTTTCCTAGAATTGTGATATCTGGTTTTATGGGTTTTGTTTTTATTAGAGTGCCAAGACTGTACTTGTCTTATGACTGGGTCAAAGTTTTGATATCTTTGTAGTAGTTCAAGTGTTAATTTCTTGGTATTTGGCAGAAAGATATTTTCAATTTCCAGCTTTGAGGGTCTGTAGAGGTATGTTATCTACAGGGTCATGGAGGTGAAAAACTTAATTTATTGTGTATTTTGAATCGGTATTTGGAGGTCCTGATAAATTTATCTCTTAAAGGGAATAGCTTTGTCCTGTACATTTTTTGTTTGAGTGGTTTTTGTTGTTTGTTGTTTTTGATCCATGATGAATATGGTATTGGTTTAAATGTAGAGTTTTCTAAGATTCCTACTTCGTATTGATTATTTTGGCAATCCAAAAATAATGGAAAGTGTTGGAAGTTATTTATTTGTGTTTGATCAACTTCGGTTTCTACTGCATATTTGCATTCTTGTCTTGGTGATGTTTCGTCTTTTGCAAGAAAAAACATAATATTTTATGGTATTTCTACTGTTGTTTTTTTATTAATATTTCAGGTGGTGTATTTCTACTAAGTGTGTCTGGTAGTGCAAGACTTTTTCCTGCTCTCCAAACTATATGTAGATTGTGAAGTTTCATTAAAATTAATTGAGATCTATGAACTCTAGGGTTTGGATCTGATTTCTGTGTGAAAAGAAAAATTATAGGTTTATGGTCTGTAAAGAGAACTGTTGGATGTTTTGATCGAAGTATTAAAAATTCATATTCCGTGAGAGTGTATTTTATAGCTGTGCATTCTCTCATAAGTGTAGAGAGTCTAAATTCAGCTTGTGTAAATTATCTTGAATTTGCGGAAATATGATTCATTTTGTTTGTTCCACTGTGTGATTGTATTAATGCTGCGCCGAAGCCAAAATTTGAGGCGTCGCACATAGCATAAAATGGTTGATCTGGATCTGGAATGGTGTGTGATATTTGCTCAGTGAGAAGTGTTTATATTTCTTCAAATCTTTGATGATGTTCTGTCGTCCATTCAAAATTATTTTGCTGTCTGAGAAGGTTAAAAAATGGTCTTAAACATGGTTGCATTTTATAAACGTACTTACTTAAGAAATTGAGCATTTCAAAAAATTCTTGGATTTTCTTTTTGTTTGATGGAGGTTGAAGATTTATGATTGCGTCTATGCGGGATTTCAGTGGATTGATCGTATTTCCTTCGATAATATGTCCAAGGAATTTTACACTGTTGAGAAAAAAAATAGATTTATCCGGGGCTGCTTTGATTTGTTCTTCAAGTAGTAATTGATGATGCTTTTCTAAAACATTCAACATTTCGTTTTTTGCCTGTGATTGCATGAAAACATCGTCTAAATATGTTATTACATTTTTACTGAGAATGAACGGTCAAAAAAACTTGCTCATAAATACTGGGAAAGCTGCTGGTCCTATGGAAGTTCCATAGAATATTCTATTGAATTCATATTGCTGATTTCCAATAACGAACTGTGTTAATTGCTGTGATTTTTCATCTAACGGCATTTGATTATGTGCACTTTTCATACCTGCTGTTGTGAAATATTTACCATTCATTTTTGGTGAGAATTACTTAAATTGGTTCAATGGGCCAATTACCTTTAGATTCATCAATGAGTGAATTGAGATATCTTGCGTCTAGAACGATTTTTAATGATTATCTTTTAGCTAAGATAATAACGGATTTTATGAATGTGTTTCCATTTGCTTGTTTTTCTTTATTTACTGAGGAAATAGTTTCATATTGTACTAGAACATTTAGTAATCTATCAACTTTGTCTAGCAAATGAATTGGGCTTTACTTGCTCGTTGCGTTTTGAAAACTGTGACAGGTTTCAGAGGTAGATGTAGTGGTGAATTTACTTTTCCAACATCAAATTTAGATGTAGCGTAAAGCATTGGGTATTTTAGTAGCAGTTCGGCTAGTTGTTCAATTCACTTTGTAAAATTTGAGAATGTTCAAAAAATGAACATTGTGAGAAAATTTTGTTGTATCTTGGTGTATACTGAAATCTGGAATGTCGGTCTGAAATAAGGCGTTTTTGTAAAATAGTCTGTCTTTCGTTTATTATCACTCATTATATTATTGTTTGTTAATTCTCCATTAAGAAATGTTGATTTAAAAATATCTAATATTTTTAAAA